TTTCTGAAAGGCACGGTGAAGGTCACATCCCCTATCATTTGCCTGAAAGATGTATCTTTGGTCGATGTGCTCAACCATCAGGCAGGAATTCAACTGGCCCTGATAGGGCTACATGGATTTGACTGTTGGGACTGAAGAATGCCTTGAGATCATCTAATGGAACCCCAGTTCAGTTTACACATAAAGAAACTGTAGGCTGGAAAAGTCCACTGCCCACGGGTGAGTCCCTCGAAGTCCTCAATCTTTGTTTCTGAAGGACTCCTTTCAGAAATCTTCCTGTCCTCTAGAGAGAGGGTGGTTGTCCCTGCTGGGCAAGACTGCCAAAGCCTGAACAAAATGTCTTTAGCACACACTGAAGGGAATCAAATGTTTGTGGGAGCAGTTTGCCCTATAGAGGCTCATGCTGGCAAGTGTAGCTCAGAAGAGGCCTTAGACATCCCAAGAGCAGAGGAGAGAGAGGACATTCTGCCCTCTGTGGCCCTGGGCTCTGTGTTACTCAGTGTATGAAGTGTTACTCAATGGGGAATGGAGCTGAGCTGGTGTGTGCCTCTGATTCTCACCACAGAACTGATTCTCATCTCAGGATTCCAGCAGGAACCCCCTGAAAGACATCAGTGGGATGCAATAACAAAACTGAAGCTTTAGTGGAATTTCACTATCGAAACCTTTTACTATTAAAAAAAAAATGTTAAGCAGTAGTGGTGCACACCTTAATCCCAGCACTTGGGAGGCAGAGGCTGGCCAATCTCTTTGAGTTCAAGGCCAGTCTTTGAGTTCAAGGCCAGCCTTGTCTACAGAGTAAGTTCCAGGACAGAGAGGGTTATGGCACAGAGGAACCCTGTCTTGAAAAACAAAAACAAACAAAACAAAACAAAAAACCCAACCAAACCAAAAAACTTTACTAAATGTATTAAATTATAAACATGTTAGGTTAGCACAAATAGATTGGACCAAATGACGTTAAAGAGAATGTTTTATGGACTAAAATAGTTTGGGGGTGCAAACTTTATTTATTTCTTGCGCATTCTATTCTAGCCTTTCAACCTGATTAAAAAGCTGCAGCACCAGCAGAAATGCTGTCACTCACCAAGCACGGTAATGCATCGGTGTGCTATGAATTATGACTCTTTCCACACCATGTTGGTGGGGTGGGGGGCGAAGAGAAAACATCAGCCCCTACAGGCCTTTTCAAAAGCTCCCTGAAGCAAGTCACCGCATTCCCTCGACATGGCAACGCGATCCCCTCCTTATCGGAATCCTTCACAGCACACTTCCACCATTTCCACAGTCACCTAAGTCAGGAGCTTCCCAATATGTCCCACTGGGGTGTCCTTCCCCCTCAGAGACAGGGATCAATCCAGTAGAGACAGGACGATGTTAACTGCAATCTGGCGGTTTGATGGCATTTCCTAAAGACAGTCACGCTCCTCCTCAGAGCCGTGGGTGGCGAATGGCCTAGCAGATGCATGCGTGTCGGGAGAATAAATCCTCCCTGACCAAGAGTGACAGCTGCCATGGATTGTCGCCTCAGCTTCCACAGGGCTCTTTGGGAGCTTCCAGCCCTCGTTAAACTATTAGAAAAACGGAGGTTCATTTTCCGTAGAGAGCATATCTATCCCCAAAGACGACAGAGGATTCTTCCCTCACAATTTCCACTGAAAGATAAAACATAAATCCATTCAGCCTTGTTCCAAGAACTAAAGCCGAGCTTGCGTCCATCCGGCTCCCCTCCAAACACCATCTGGCTGCAGGCTTCCCTTTTAGGGGCCTGGAGGTTTTTGGCTCAGGAACAAGGCCCATTTCTTTCCAACGGATCAACACTGTCACCCAGTGGACAGAGAGTTTAGCAGGCTGAGGTCTAAGCCTTCTCAGCATTACAGCCAGGATTTAAACAGGAGCCTGGTTGTTTCAGAGGATCAGGGGTAAGTATTCATTTCCTTTGCTGGGAACCATGCCAACTTCAGCAAGGAAGCCTTGGCTGGAGTTGTCACAGGTAAATCCTAACCAAGACGTGCATTTCCATTGTGCCGATTCCTTCTGCTTTGCTCCCCAACGATAAAGTCACAGAAACCCGGGCTGCAGATCAACCAATCCCCGCCGCCAAGACTCCCAGAATCTAACAGGCAGACAGGAGCTAGGCCATTATCGGTGACAGTCGGGTGTGTCGAGTGACCGTCCCACCACACAGAATGACTCACTGTTTAAAAACTGAAAATATGTTTGGGGGTTAAATCTGAGGAAAAAAAATGATTGACTTCCCTATAGCGAAATCAATTAGGTGAACGTTCTCTGTTTTCCATCGGCCTCCGATGACGGCAGGATAAACTTCTGGCCTGTCTCGTACTCCTGAGACCCTTTCTCCGATCTGAATGTCATTTGGCACTCACAGCTTTAGCTTGCTTTCCACACAAAGCTAAGAGGCTCTGAGCCTTCTTGCTAAGTGTGGGCTTCAGGTCACCCCTTCTCCCAGGCTGGTGCTCGGCCACACACGGCTCAAGTATTTTCTGTCTCTTTGTGCCGTCCAAGGAGCAGGGCTGGAATATTACCTCATGGGAGCTCTTGTAGAGTTCTTCATTAAAAAGGTTCTCTGTGTGTGGGAGACAATGTGGACTTAAATTCTGATTCTGTCTCTTGAAAGCTTCTCTGATTCTGTCACTCGCTAGTTCCTGGATCTTGAAGGAATTGCTTAATCTGAGTCTCCCTTTCTACCTCTTTCCATCAGGAACAGCATCAGGATTGCATTCACCCTCTAAGTTACTGTAAGGATTTCCTTCCTCTTTCCTCCTTTCTCTTCCCCCCCCCCCCCCCCCCCCGCCTTCTTTCCTCCCTCCCTCTCTCCCTCCCTTCCTTCCTTCCTTTCTTCCTTTCTTCAGCAGGAGAAAGGCAGGGTCTTGCTGATATAACACAAATTGACCTTTAACTTATGGTAATCCTGAGAGCTTGGATTAAAGACACACACCGCATGCCCCAGTTACTTTGACTATTTAATAATAAAACACACAGAAATTACTTAGCATGGTGTCTGGATATAGCATAAAACTCATGAATATTAATCGCCATGATGGTTCATCTTTTTCAGCGGAATTGACTGGATTTAGAACTGTCTACGAGCCAATGGCATGTCTGTGAGGGCATTTCTGAAGAGGTTTAACTGAAGGGACAAGACCCACCTTGAATGTGGGTGACACCACCCTATGAATAAGCAGCATTTGTCTCTCTCTGCTTCCTAACCCACCAGCTGCCTCAAGAGCTCCCTGCCTTGTCCTGTTCACCGTGATGGGCCGCATCCCCAGACAGAACCACAGCGAAACCTCCCAAAGTTACTGTTGTCACAGCACTGAGAACGAGAAGTAATACAAGGGCAGTCCTCCTCATCTTCCTCCACCTTTTCTTCTCCTCCTCCTCCCTTTCCTCCTCCTCCTTCATCTTTGAGACAGAGTCTCATTATGTAGACCAGCCTGGCCTCAAACTCACAGAGATCTGCCTGCTTCTGCCTCCTAAGTGCTAGGGTTAAAGGTGTGGGCCACCATGCCTGGCTCGTTAGTGTTTCTAAAACACAGCTTTGTATTATAAAGCTGTGCTTCACTGGTCCGCATCTATTGACTAGAGATGAATTGTTGAGTTTGTCTGAAATGAAGAAGGGTAAAAGACAATCCAGGTTGTGGCTTCTCATGAAAATCATCTAGAGAGGTTTTGTTTGTTTGTTTTTTAATGAAGAGGCTCCTTTCATTTTCTTTTTCCATTTTTTCTTTTTTTTAATTTTTCAAGACAGGGTTGCTTGACTATCCTGGAACTCACTCTGTAGAACCTCAAACTCATCAAGACCCAAGTGCCTCTGCCTCCTCCACAGTGCTAGGATAGAAGGTATGTGCCACCATGCCTTGTTCAGATGATTGCTTGCTATAGAAGTCAAACTTAATCCCTGATGACAGACAACCCAACAGCGGGATTAACATTTATTAGATGCCCATATTGTGCCAGGAGCTGACCAGGCTTAATTGCTTTGCTGGATCTTTCTAGTAATCTTATGAATTCATTATCCTTTCTTTAAAAACACAAGATAATTAGTTCATGTCTTTTATCACACAAGAAAAGTAATATATTGCATTCCCTTAGGTAAAGCTATGAAAATGTGTTTATCAACCACTCCCTTCTGTACGAGATGTGGAGTAATCTGCCTGAGGTCACACAGGCAAGTATTGGAACCCAGGTTGGAACTCAGTCTGCTTTCAAAGTTCATACTTTACCTCACAAGGCTGTCTTACTCATGCAATTATTCTACTTGATTTTATATATCCTTATATAAATTTTTATATCCTTATTTCCTCAGCTGTCTTATTACATAGGCTTTTTAAAAAAGATTTATTAATGGTGTATTCAGTGTTCTGCCTGCATGTATACCTCCACACCAGAAGAGGGCACCAGATCCCATTATTGATGGTTGTGAGTCACCATGTGGTTGCTGGGAATAGAATTTAGGACCTCAGGAAGAGCAGCAGCCAGTGCTCTCAACTTCCCTGCCATCTCTCCAGCCCCCTTACATAAGCTTCTTTTTTGTTTTTTTGAGACAGGGTTTCTCTGTAGCTTTGGAGCCTGTCCTGGAACTCGCTCTGTAGACCAGGTTGGTCTCAAACTCACAGAGATCCTCCTGCCTCTGCCTCCCTAGTGCTGGGATTAAAGGTATGTGCCACCACAGGCCAATTTACATAAACTTCTTAAAGGCAAGAACTGACTTTAAGTCACTTCAGTCATCTCCATATCAACTCACAAGGGGGATGATTTGACCCCTCAATTTTAAGAGGGCCTCATTTCTAACTTCATCGAAGTAGCAGTCAGAATAAGCAAGCACTCAAGTAGGGCTACGCTCAGCGCTATTACAAGTATTCCAGCGGAGCTATTTCTGCTTTCTCTTTAGCCTGCTATTGGTCCTGAGTGCTCTGTGAGTCAGGAAATCCACATAGTCAGCGGGTGGTTCAGAGTTATGTATCTCACACACATACCAAAAAAATTCCCGGGGTGAGATTGTGTCTTCGAACTAGGAGTGGGCAACCAGGTTTCATAAACTTAGACGCTGATGTGACATCGTATTTGAGCAACCGAAAAGAATCCAAATGACTCTACAGGAAAAGAGAAGAGGGAGAGAGGTTGGCTGTAGGTTTTATTGTTGCTTGCTCTGTTTTGTTTGGTTGTTTTTGCTTTTTAGGTTTTATTATTTATCTATTTTGCTTTTTAAGTTTTTTTTAGGTTTTGTTTTGTTCTTGAGACAGGATCTTACTATGCCTCCCCAGCTAGCCTCAAACTCACTACATAGACCAGGTGGCCTTGAACTCACACAGCTCTACCCACCTCCTGCGTTCTGGAATCAAAAGCCTGCACTACTCTACCATAGTAAAACATAACCTAAAGACCTTTTGCTTCGTTCAACAGCATTCACGTCCTCAAGCCCAAAATTCTAGACTCTGCCTGCCCTACTCCGGTAGAAATACCTGGACGCTTGCTGTGCATTGAAGGCCTGAGCCGCACACCTGGCAGTCTGTACCTTTCCACCTGTTTGTTACTGTGCAACCTCGAACTTTACCCTGAATGTGAAAGCCAAGGCAAAGGAGAAGCCCAGGTGACTACCAGTCATTCTGTAACTGGGGAGAAAAAAACAACAACAACAAAACAAAACAGGAAATCCTCGTGGGAAGAAAAGCCTTCTAGTTTCTCATTCAGAGAGGTGGTTTTTCCTACTGGGTTCCACACAAGGCCCCTGGACCTGTAGCGAAGAATGACGCACTTTCCAGAAGCTGTTCAGGAAACACGGAGGGCAGCACCCCAAAGACAACTCAACAGAAGCAGTGAGTGCTTTCACAGGGTCTGGGTCTTTGGCTTTTGCAGGGTCAGCCCACTCAAGAGCCAGCCCTGAGTGTCTGAGTCATCCCCTAAGAACAGTTCTGGGGTTAGCCTGGGGGTCACGCAGGAGGAAGCTGAACTGCATCCACAGGGGAGCTCTTCAGCAGTGAGCCAGACCTGGGGGCTGCATATCAAATACCTGCTCACAGACCGTAACAGTAGCAAAATCACAGCTATGAAGTAGCAACAAAATAATGTTATCGTTGGGGGTCAAGGCAACTCGAGGAACTGTATTAAAGGGTTGAAGCGCTAGGAAGGTTGGGAACCACGCCTTAGAGAAGGAAAGGGATAAGTCCCTGTAAGAACTAGGAAAGACTAGAAACAGTAAAACCAGTCAGAGCCAACAGAGGAGATGACAAAGGCCTCCAATGAGCAGAAGCAGGGGGATGGAAAAGAAGGGCCATGTGTGGGAGGAGACAGTTACAATGATAGCCAGTAAGAATTGACCAGGTTTCACACAAGGCTACTAAGAACAATTGGCAGTAACTGCGTGGAGTAGAAAAAGAGTATAGCATCCAGACTAGGCGCTGCTTAGGAGAAAGATGGATTAGTGATGTCTGTCACAAACAGAATGGGAGGATACTGGCAGATAGATAGATGGTTTAGTGATATCTGCCCCAGACAGATTGGGAAGATATTGGAAGATGGATGGATGGATGGATTCGTGATGTCTGCCACAGACACAGAATGGGAAGATATTGGCAGATGGATAGATTAATTATGTTTACCACAGACAGAATGGAAAGATATTGGCAGATGGATGGATGGATTAGTGATGCCTGCCACAGACACAGAATGGGAGAATATTGTCAGATGGATAGTTTTCACTGTTCCTATCTTCTGGCAGAGGAAGTTGAGATTTTTTTTTTAAAGCGTACAATGATCTTCTAGAAAGGATAAAACTAATTTATGCAAACAAAGGAATAGGAATATGATTGCCTGGGCTTGGCTAGTTTAATGGATTATTTACTGGGAAGAGACAGGAAAGAGAAGAGTTTTTTTAGGCCTGGAAATATTCTATATCTTCATCTGAGTGGTAATACATAGGTACTGTACATAGTCCATAATACTACCTGTTTTAACCCATTTTGTCTTGCCATAACAAAATACCTGACACTAGGTAAAGTATGTCTTTTTTTTTTCAAGTTGTTTATTTGGCTCATGATTGTAGGCGCTCTCTGAGGAGGGGGTCTCTCCCTGGCTGCCTTACAACATGATAGAGAAATATAGGGGGAAATGTCTGCCTGCAGAAGGAACCAAATGCATGAGGTGGTCTAATTCTATAACAACTCGTTTTCACAAGAACTAATATGGCCCTGTGAGCCCTAGAAAATTCCCGAAGAAAAGCACTTACCTTTCTAGGGATTGTGCCCCTAGGATGCAATCGCCTCCACCAGGCCCTTTCTCTTTAAGTTTCTAGCACTCTTGTTGGGAGAAAAAGCATACCCAAACCAGAGCGGCGCCACTAAGATTCACAACCTTTGATCTACAAATGTATTGTAATGCCAGAAGACAAAGATGGGGAGCCAAAAGTCCTTCTATGATCCTCGATGTGCCCGAGGGGATATCTTACAAGGATACACACAAGCAAACATACCCCGCACTCTGACCGTGGGACGCTCACCTGAATGCACGGCATGTTTCTGGATTTGTTCATCTCCTTGTACAGGTCGGTCACTTCCTCTATCGTCTTGTCCTCCCTTTCAGCTGAGGACACGCAGACGACAATGATCTGATCCGTACGGGAGAGCTGTTTGCCGATGAGGTGGTCATACTCTAGGTCTGTCACTTCGGGGATGGTGTGACAGCTGCACCTGCATATATCCCCATCCTCCCCACACATCGTCTTCCTCAGGACCACAGGACAAGCCAGCTGGGAAGAAAACCACAAATCCTTCCCTTTAGCGAGAAGAGAAAACCTGGAAACAGAATGGGTAGGAGTCAGGTTCAAGAGCTGAAAGGGCAGAAAGTGAACCCCAAGTCACGGGTAGGTGTGTTGGTAAAGCGTTTGGACAGCATCTGTTAATATGCTAAACAAACAAACAAACAAATGTAAGCCTTTGAGCTCTGCAGGCCAAACATTACACTTAGTGGCCAGTAGTGTAAGGTCAGTGTTGACTGCAGTTTAACACGTGCAGGAAGAATGCACTCAAGGCTAGGCGAGACACTTGCTTTTCCTCTCTTATAGCTTAACAGAGGGCAGACACTAAGAAAAATGAGGTTCTAAAACGTCAATAATTTGACCCAAACTCCACAAACATAAATAACAGAGTTGGAACCTGACCTTGTATGTCTGTTTCCCGCCCTAGTCCTGCCATCTCATTGGTTCCTGAAGATGCCATTCCGATAACCTACTTCTGAGTTAAGTATTCTGTCTATGAATAGACTTTGGGGATTCAAAGAGAGTGATCCCAGAGGCTCACATATTTGAGTTTGAATAGTCTCCAGGGAGTGGAACTATTTTAGAAGCTGTAGATGAAGTGGGAAGGATAGCCTTATCAGTGTAAACGTGGCCTTGCTGGAGGCGGTGTGTTGATGGAGGTAGGCTTTGAGGCTTCCAAAACCCACGCCAGCACCCCTTGCCTGCTGTCTGTGGATCAGGGTGTGAAGCTCTCAGCTACTGCTCCAGCACCATGCCTGTCTGCTCCCTGCCGTGATAATCATGGGCTAACCTAAAACTGTGAGCAAGCCCCCAATTAAGAAAGCCAATTAAGCCAGGTGGTGATGGTGGCGCTCGCCTTTAATCCCAGCACTCAGGAGGCAGAGGCAGGTGGATCTCTGAGTTCGAGGCCAGCCTGGTCTACAAGAGCTAGTTCCAGGATGGGCTCCAAAGCTACAGAGAAACCCTGTCTCGAAAAATATTTTACATTTATTTATTTTATGTACATTGGTGTTTTGCAGCCTAAGCCCTACAGGGCAAACCAAGACTTTAAGATGGCCATTTGAACAGGTCTGGCTGCCCACTGACTCCTGGATATTTCTTAACAGATTCTTAACATGCCAACACCTTTCAAGAAAGCTACTATGCATTCAAGTTGGCCTCAGCCCAACTTTGCCCATAGGCTTACACTTTCATGCACTTGGTTCCCATTTGCAGTGTGCCTGAGGTTATGGAACCTTCAGGAAGTAGAGTCTTCTTAGAGGATATAGACCACTAGAGGCAGGCTTTTCAGGCTTATAGCTTTGCCTCACGTCCTGTTAGTTCTAGATGCTTCCTGTGTTCATATGAAATGTGATCAGCTGACGTCCTGCTCCTGCTGGCACGCATGCCTTGACTTCCCCACCATTCCTGGGCTCTAGGCTACTAAAACAGTACAGCAAAACAGACTCTTTTTCCTTAAGTTGATTTTGATCATAGTATTGTCTCACAGCAATAGAAAAGTAGCACACGCACACACACACACACACACACACACACACACACACACACACACATGTTCTCCCTGTCTAAACTACTCTCCGTCCTCAGTATGTCTCCCATTCTAACTATACTGTTCTGTTAACATGTTGTTGCTATTCTTCTATGTATTCACGCTCCACACCATCTCTTCCTGAAGACTGGACCGTTGGAGGCTGTCAGCCGAGTCCTGCCCTCTTTGATTGCATCCAGCCACACACCTGGAAGTGACTGGTAACAGCTGCGGTCAGTCAAGTGCGTGACCAGCCGTCTCAAGGTACCGCTTTATGTCACAGCATCAATGAGGTACGATGGCAAGGCTTCAAATGCTCAACCTTTCACCAAAAAACCTTCTTGTAGCAAAATGAGCCAGGCTGTGGTGGCACACGCCTTTAATCCCAGCACTTGGCATGGGGGGGGCAGAGGCAGGTGGATCTCTGTGAGTTCAAGCCCAGCCTGGTCTACAGAGTGACAAGAAGGCTGTTACACCGAGAAACCCTATCTCAAACAACAACAACAAAATCCAAAATGAAACTGTTACAGAAAACCGTAAACAGTCAAAATGCAAAGAACAAGAGACAATGGGGTAACCATGGGGTGCCAAGCCCGGGATGATCTGTCTCTGTCTAACACAACTCCCGCAGCTTAGGCTCAGAGGATATCACTGAAGAGGGGGCAGAAAGACTGGAAGAGGAGACCGTAGGAAAGCTGCTGTGAGATTCGTCTCCTAGAAACCACAGGGAGGCGTTCGCCCATGATACCTTAGCAACAAGGCGGCTTAGACAAGACCTGAGGAAGTGTGACAGCAGATTTGCTAACATAGAAGGGGGGGTGCATGGGGCCCCAAGCCCTCAACAAAGAACTCCAGGAAACTAGGAAATGCCGAGGGTGGAGGTCATAGTCTGTTCCAGAGATGACATCCCTAATTGGTTGTCCAGTACCAAGTGGTCACCCTGAAATTATCTATATACAAGTAACATGAAATTGGCTGAGCAGGTTGTATTTATATGTTTAGCAAGATGAGCGTACATGGGAGGGAGAAAAGGGAAGGAGAAAAATGAAATAATGTTTTAGTTTTAAAAATAATAAAAACTGAAAATCCATTAATATTAGAAATGCACAAACACATTCTTATCGTACTTATGGGTTTTCTTTTGAGCTGTTTTCTTTTTAAATGTTATTGGAACAGTTTTAAGCTGGGGTCTCGCCAAGTGTGTGCGGAGGTGGTTTGCAGCGCATGTGCAAAGAGGCCGAACCTTCCCTGGCTTCCGAGGTTTCTACCCAGTTAAAGGGACCAAGCCGCCCATTTCCCATGCTATCTAGATCCAGCTGGAGCTGACACCACAGACTTCTCTACCTGGTGTCAAGTGCCCCTGTTTAGCTCTGGTGGTGGCGTGTTCTCATCTTGAAGAATCAGGAAGCAAAGAAAACGGCATCAGAGCAGAGCCAGCCTAGAACCTTCTCAAAGCCCCAACCTCCGCCTGCCCAGAGACTCAGAGGCCTGGAGAACAAGGCTCCTTCTGTGCTGATGAACGAAACAGGGCCACAGTTCCCTGGGAGAGCTGGCAAAGGAGGAAAAGTAAACGGGCACGCGGGCCACACGTGCCGACGACGGGCAAGACGGGTGAGCAGCACAGCTAGTTTCTAAACACGTGTTTGTCCAAACGGGTGAAGAAGACAAAGTAAGACTTGGTTCCCGAGTCGTTCAAATTCCGCTGCTAAATGAGAAACCATATTAGAAAGCAGAGGAGAGCTTGGGGGTTTGAATCTACGCGTGGAAGTGGAGCCCAGCTTTAGGATTGTCATTAATAAGTACGTATTATGGTTTAGATATGAAACGTTCCTCACAGTCTTGATATGTGTTAGGCTCCAGGTCTGCAGCTGGTAACATGTTTGGGGATGCGGGCCGGCTGGGTTGTTCGGGGTAGAGCATCAAAGGTTATAGGCTGGCCCTACTTCTGATTAAATTTTCTTTGCTTCCTGATGCACTGAGATGTGGAAAAGCCCCCGTCAAAGACTGACCCACACCCCCTGCTGTGCCTTCCCTGCCATGGTGGAGGGGTAGCTCTGAAAGTTGTGTTTGAGAATAAACCCTTTCTCTCCTAAACTGCATCAATGAGACCTTTCCACCTCTGTGAGAAAGGCTGTTAAAGCAGCCTGCGGGTGGTAATCCCTAACCCAGCCTGCAGGCAAGACATTAAACCGCCTAGAGGGCCCTACTGGGCCAACATGAAAGAGCTGAAAGTAAGGCTGACCTAATGCAGTGGCTTTCAACCTGTGGGTTACGATCCCTCTGCGGGGGTGGGGGGGTCATATCCCAGACATCCTGCATATCAGGTTTTACATTACACTTCATAACAGTAGCAAAATTAGAATTATGGAGTAGCAACGGAATCATTTGATGGCTGGGGGTCACCACAGCACGAGGGACTGTATTCAAAGGTTGCAGCATTAGGAAGGCTGAGAACCACTGATCTAATGGCTCTCAAGCCTGAGCCAGATGTCAGGCAGCAAAAATAAGGGAGGCTGGTTACCGGGAATACGGGCTGACGGTTGAGGTCCTGTGGATGTAGTGGTAAGGGGAAGGCTTGAAGAACTCTTTCAGGGTCAGGAAGTTATTTCTGTACCGGAGATACTCCTTGTACCAATCCACTTCCTTTGCACTTTGAGTCAGAGCAGGTATTGCAAACGACACCTTGGGTTTCCTGACCGCTTTCTTTGCAAACGGGGGCAGTCGGCAGACGTGCGGGGACTCCAGGCCTGGAATGAGAACAGGACATAGTCCACTAAACATCTCCAGGAGGACAGCAGCGCCTGGAGGCTGAGCTGGAGACATTCTATTGGGTGCCACAGCTGGGATATTTCTTTGTCACATAGGAAATTCTCCTCTCTATTGACGACACCACCACCCCTGTCGTGGGGACCTCTTGTCTTCTCTGATGAAGCATAGCATGAGTGTTGTAAGCAAGGAAGATATCTAGGTCATCAACAAATACAACCCAGAGGAGTTTGTCTTTACCTTGTGCCAGGGAATGAGTCATGTATTTAAAATATATAACCCTACTCAAATAATATCCTCATAATGCAACCTTTGATATCCATGGGGTTTGAATGGAAGGTTCTATAGGTATGAAGTGTGCCCTTCAAAAGGTTCATTTGTGCCAGGCAGTGGTGGCACATGCCTCTAATCCCAGCAGGTGAATCTCTGAATTCAAGGCCAGCCTGGTCTACAGAGCAAGTTCCAGGACAGACAGGGCTACACAGAGAAATCCTGTGCACCACCTTTGATCCCAGCACTCAAAAGGCAGAGGCAGGAGAATCTCTATGAGTTTGAGGTCAGCCTGGTCTACATAGTGAGTTCCAGGGCAGCCAGGGCTACACTGAGAAACAGAGAACAGAGAATTCTCAAACAACAGTCATTAGATGATTAAATCTTCACTGTTAACTTGACTGGATTTGGAACTAGCCAGAAAACACGCCTCTGGGCATTCTTTACCAAAGAGCTCAGAACTTACTTGGATGTTTTTAGGACATTTCCAGAGAGGTTTAGCTGAAGGGGGAAGACCTACCCTGAATGATTCCATAAAAAATGGAAAACAGAGGAAACCAGCTAAGTGCTAACATCTCCTCTTTCTACTTCCGTATCCACTGAGATGTAGGGAGCCCCACCCATGGGTTCTTGCCAGGATGAGCCTTCCCTATCACGGTGGACTCTAACCTCTCAAACCATGAACCAAGGTAAATCCTTCCCATAAGTTGTTATTTGTTAGGTCTATGGCCACAGAGATAAGAAAAATAACCAACACACTGACCTAGTATTTGTTGAGAGGATAGAACCCAACTTCCAGGAGTAATGAGAAGAAATTATGTTTCCTCACCATCCACCATCTAAGATCATGATAAGTTCTAATCAATACCAGCCATGAGTTGATGCACATTCAATAGAAGATTTGAGTATGAGACCCTGTCTCAGCATAAGTGATCAAACAACATACACAAAGACTGACATTTTAGTACGGAGACTAAGAATTGAACTTGAAGGTATGAGCTCTCCCTATGAAAACACAGCAGTGACTGAGATTTTCCTCTCCAAAAAAGCAGACAAAATTAAAAATTACATTGTGTTTTCCTGCTGCAAGCCATCACCAGGCTTCATGATCAGAAGCTTTATTTGTATCATTCTCAGTTACAAACCAACAACCTTGGATCCTCAGTGGGGCAGGTGTTTAAAGGTTGGTTTTCCTAGAAATCAGAACAGTTGGTCATGCGGACCATGAGTTGTGGAGCAATGGATTGTGAAGCAACAGATTGTGGAGCAATGGATTGTGGAACATGGATTGTGGAGCAATAGATTGTGGAACATGGATTGTGAAGCAATAGATTGTGGAACATGGATTGTGGAGCATGGATTGTAGAGCACTGGATTGTGGAACGTGGATTGTGGAGCGTGGATTGTAGAGCACTGGATTGTGGAACGTGGATTGTGGAGCGTGGATTGTAGAGCACTGGATTGTGGAACGTGGATTGAGGAGCATGGATTGTGGAACGTGGATTGTGGAGCGTGGATTGTGGAACATGGATTGTGGAACATGGATCATAGAGCAATGGATTGTGGGACATGGATTGTGAAACATGGCCCGTGGAGCAATGGATCATGACGCAATGGATTCTAGGACTTACCCAATGTGGATCTGTAGTAGTTCAGCCAGTGAAGGAGGATATGCTTAACCTTCTTCTGTATTCTGATTAGTTCGATGGATGTTGCAAGGTCATGCATAAGGCTTATGTCCGCTCCTGGATCATCAGGGTCTGTGTCCACCGGGTCTGCTAACTTTGAAGCCTTTAAATGAGAAGATAAATATACACATTGATATCTGTGTATACATACACGTATGTGAGGGAGACTGCTTGCTGTGTGGCCAGCAAACATCAATCCTTCATCCATCAACCCATTCACTCTGTAATCAGACTATCCAACGAGCGTTTACTAAGTGCTATTTATAGCCCAGCAATGTGCCGGAAACGTGGGTCCAGGTCACACATGATAGCATATTCTTTGGGGACTATACTTAGTGCCACTGAAATATATACTTACAAAGGTTATGTTATCATGATAAGAGAGAGAAGTCTGTTTTCCTATCCTCCAGGATCTACAGATCAGTGGAAAACTTAAGCAGGGAGTTCAATGTTTAAGTGCACTGACTTCCCCTTAGCAGTGGCAGAGCTTATAAATATTCATGAACTATACGTAAAGTTATGAATATTCATTAACTATGTATTGAACATTTACGTGTAAAGGTACATATCATTATATATTTGTGCTCTCAGTTTTTGCACTATGCAAAGTCAGATGAAGACGGGCACGAAGCAGGAGGAATCTGAAGGGTCAGAGGAGTCAGGGAGCCATGTCGAGGCTGACGAAGTAGACGGAGAGCATTTTGAAGAATTTTCTCTACAGAAATTAGGCAATGAAGCTGATACTTCAGTTTGAAAAGTCAACCCCATCTGACAGGCATAGACTTGAACTTCCTTGTTTTAATGATTCCAAAAAGGACTTAAACATCAGTGGCTTTGATATAATCACCTAAACTATGAATGTTACAACCTAATCTCAACCTCAGAAACGGGTAAATAAAGTATATTTACCTCATGTTACTGAGGTTTTAATACACGAATAACATGAATGTATTTTCTGTCATTGGATCATCTCTTAGATTCATTATATTGGAAATCTGAAAATTTTCTACATTTAATTTTTTCGATTTATTTTATTACCTTTTGCGGAAGCGTGTCTTGCTGTGTGCATGTATGTCTACCGCATGTATGTCCTGTGCCTGCAGTGGTCAGAAGGGGGGTGTGGGGTTATGGATGGCTGAGAGCTACCATGTGGGTAATGGGAGTCAAACTCTGGTTCTCTGCAAGAGCAACAGGTGCTCTTAACAGCTGGATTCTCTCTCAGCTCAGGAAATCTGAAGGTTTTGATCAGTTAAGGAAACCTAAAGCCGGGTGTTGTGGCTCACATGTTTAGTCCCAGCACTCAGGAGGAAAGGCAGGCAGATCTCTGTGAGTTCCAGGGCACTACAGACCGTGCCTCAAAAAAGCAACAATGAAAACAGAAAACCTATCAGGGCAGTGGTGGCGCACGCCTTTAATTAGCACTCAGGGAGGCAGAGGCAGGTGGATCTCTGTGAGTTCGAGGACAGCCTGGTCTACATAGTGAGTTCCAGGACAGCCAAGGCGGCACAAACCCTGTCTAGAAAAACAGAAAAAGAATGAAAGAGAGAGAGAGAGAGAGAAAGAGAGAGAGAATAAAATCTTAGATATTCCCCTTGAGTTTTCCTTTTATGTTGGACACATTGATATAGACGTGTGAAAATTAAGTTTAAAAGTTTTACATAAAATGACTAAGTTCAAACATAACTGAAATATGAAGAGAACTTGAGAATCCCTTAATTTAATTAACGTTCTCTGTAAATTGTTAAGAACCTGAAAATATTTTGCTTATTAGGGTTATGAATGTGCATTTGAAGTACTTAAGGGAGAATGAAATACATTAAAATTATAAATATACTTCAAAATATGTAAAAAATTTTTTGGATACAGGGTTTCTCTGTAGCTTTGGAGCCTGTGCTGGAACTCAGTCTGTAGACCTGGCTGGCCTCGAACTCACAGAGATCCACCTGCCTCTGCCTCCTGAGTGCTGGGATTAAAGGCGTGCGCCACCACTGCTTGGCCCATTTTGAACAAATTTTTTAAGACTGTTTTGAGATTAAGTTCCTTAGATCCAAGCTGGTCTCCCACAAAGATTCTGTTTCAACCTCTCATGTGCTATAATTAGAACCGGGCACCACAACCCCTGGCGTTTTTAATAGGTAGCTCTAAAAAAAATTAATTTTAAATCTCAAATCAAATGATTATGTTTTTCTAGACACAAAAATCTCTTGGATATGAAAAAGATCCTCAGACTTGCTGCTTCAAGCTTTCCCTTGCATCTTCTCACTTCTCTTTACTGAACTGTTAGCCTGACCTGGGACTGCCTCAGAAGCCTTCCTCCCTCCCTCCCTTCCTCTATTCATCCTTCCCTCCTTCCCCTCATTTTACAAGACTTACTTTTTATGGTTATAATTTACATTTCCCTCTCCCCTTTCCTCCCTCCAAACCCTCCATAGCGTACGTTGGTGGAAAATTCTTTCATCCTTGCTGAAAACACAATTTGCTAGCAAAGACACTGAATGGAGTTGACCACACGTGCTAATTCACAGCCTGAGCACCATCTGTGGGAAATAAACTTCGAAAAGGCAGAGGCAAAAGGAGAAAGTATGCCCTGGGCGGTGGTGGTGCACGCCTTGAATCCCAGCACTCGGGAGGCAGAGGCAGGCGAGTCTACAAAGCGAGTTCCAGGACAGCCAGTATTGTTACACAGAGAAATCCTGTCTCAAAAACCAACAGAGAGAGAGAGAGAGAGAGAGAGAGAGAGAGAGAGAGAGAGAGAGAG